CCCCAAAACCCCAAAACCCCATGGTGAAAATACTTCAAAGTTATATTAAATAAAAAACTTTTATCTAAGAGTCAATAAAAATCATTTAAGTTAGGAATAATATCGAAAACAGTTAAATCTATACTAAAATAATAATTAATACGTAATGTCTCATAAGTAGGGAGAGTAAGAGTCTTTCTAAGAAAAAAATTGCATGGGAAGAGCGGGCAAGTCTTTTAAGAAGATGGATGTTTACGGAGAGAAAATTTAGCTAACTTACTAAGGCAGAGAAACATTCAATACAACACCCGGTGCTTCTGTTTCGATTATTGTTATTGCTGTGATTCTTGCATACGCTATTTACAGAGCTTTTATATTAGTTACTCTAGGAGATACCCAAATCAGTAAAAAATCATTTCTTAGAGATTTAGATACTGTGGGTCCCTTTTCACCTCAAAATTAAGGATTTGATTTTGCATTTGGTATAGGAAAACCTCTAGACCCTACCTATGGTAACATAGGAGTAAGGTTGATTAATTTCTATTATACAAATGAGACAGATGCAAATGGAAATAAAATAAGAATAAAAGACAGGATTAATCTTGATATTGATTTGTGCAATAATACTGGGTTTAACTTTACAGACTAGTATTCAGTGAAATAATTTGGTATCTTGAATCAGTATTGCCTAAAAAATAAATCAGCTTTTTTTCTGAATGGAGATTTTTATTCTTTTAATTTCACATATATTGAAATCAAGCTCAACCGCTGCTTTAACAGGAGTTCATCTCCCATTATTTGTTAAGATCCCTAAGTTATAAAAGATTTCTTTACTCCTTTGCAATTTAGTGTACCTTATGTCAATACTTTCTTTGATTTCAATGACTATGATTAATAAGTAAAGTACTTTATAGATGATTCTCTATTTTGGGAATTAGATACTAATATAATAAATAAGGTTAATTTCTACGTTTAGAAAAATGAGGCTTCTCTTTAAGACGATTTCCTATAGCTTGGTTAGAGTAATGATTATGATTTTTATGGAGTCAGCAATCAAAGAACCTATCAAGATAACTACTCAGATAATGATGGCTACTACGCTGCTGTTTATTTGCGCATTGATAATAGATATGATATTTTTGAGAGACAGATCTATTCTGTTCTTCCGTATCTTGGCGACGTTGGAGGTCTCGAATAGTCTATATTCTTGCTTGGAATGCTGTTTATCAGCTTTTTCACCAAGAGAATCTTCAACGCCTCTATCTTGAAAAGGATATACTAAGTAAAGAACTATCACTAGGATGAAATCGATAGGCAAAATGAATTAGAAGATATCAATTAGAATCTATCCAGCTAATTCATTAAGAAATAAGGATCAGATCTAAAGTCATCCTATGATTCATTAAAAGAAAAAGGATAATCAAGATCAAACCTTAATATGCCAAATATAAAGAAGTCAAGCTGGACTTAATCATAATCGGATGCTGATAACGATGATGAAAATCCGAAATAATAGAAATTAAAACATAAAAACAATGACAAAAGGGCTTCTAAATACAAGGTAGAAAGCTAGATAACAAATTAAGATGGAGTCGAGAAGGTCGCGATGGTAGGAATGACTCCTAGACAAATCACTCATAGATAAACAAAAGACTCAAATCAACTGGAAATCAAAAACTATGCGAAAAAATCTACTAAGGTTACTAGCTTCCTCTATTAAGATTCAAGTGTCAAGGCATCTATTCAGTCAAAAACTATGAAGAAAAAAATGTAGGGTCTATAGTCAGATGAAGAATCAGACTAAGATTCACCAATAAAGAAAGTCAAGAGAGCCATGAGTTAACAAAACCGAACTCCTAAATCAGGGGAAAAACCTAACCTTAATATTAATGTCTCTTAAGTTAAAAGAAATTACCCCAGGTCAAATCATAGTGAAAGCAATAAATACACTCCAAGGTTAAATAACACTAATTTCTAGAAGAAGATTAAAGAGGATAAGACAGTTTCCTAGGAAGATGTCAACTAGATTTTGGCTGATCTTATTAATAGACGTAGATTTAGATACACAAGCAAAGATATCCTCACATATTTGTTTTAATGCCTGTGCCTTAGAAAAACGAGAACACTCAGAGAAAATAACGTTTACAAGAACCATTATTTGTTTATGAAGGCTTAAGATAAGTTAGATTAGGAATTAGACGTGATCACTTTGTTAAGATCTCTTAGAAAACTGAGACTCATGAATTCTACTTTGTTAAATCAAAAGAATAGAATGATTATGAGGTTCCAAAGAAAAAATCTAGTCGAAACTTAGTCATCCTCTTCGGACTCAGATGACAATAAGAATGATACCTTGAAGCAGATGGAGAACTAAAACCCAATGGTACGACTCATGGTTTACGGCAAGCTCAAGAAAATGATGATGTCTTATGCTAATTAGAAGTTGCATACTATTGACAGGAACCTCATAAGAGGTATATATCTGAGAAAGATCAAAGATTTTAAGGAGGATATGAATGAAAAGTTTGGAAGCAAACAGCTTTTCACAAGACTAACCGGAAAATATCTAAAAATAACAGTTGAACAAGAAGAAGGCTCACCAATCCAAGAAACCAAATAAGACCCCAAAAAGAAGAAGAAAAGTTCCAAGAAATCCAAGGAAAGAAAGCCAAAGGAGGTTAAGGAATTGGAGAGTTCTTTGAACCTTGAGGATTCAATGAGACGCCTCAATGTTAGCAACTAGATTATAGATGAAGCACTAGAAGATTTCAGTGAAACTTGCCTTTAAAATCAATTTAAAATCAATGAAAAAGATAATAAATCTCACCGTAATATTGGTAACTCTTCTAATAAGAGGCAGAGGTCAAAATCAAAACAATAATAACCAGTTTTTTCCTAGAAAGAATACTTAGAACCTGCTCACAAGAAAAATAAGGGAAAGTCCTCTTCAATCATTCAGGCAAAACTTAAGAATTTAAGCTGAACCCCAAGAAACCCTGACAAGCCCTACAATTTTATGTACATAGATCCTTTAACAATGAAGGCAAATTACGGGCTGTTTCACACATTTAATGTCGATCTAGGATTTGATTGACTATTTATCTAAATATCATTTATTACCTGTTTTAAATCTATCATCAGTTATAATAATCTTAAGAAAGCTTTTTTTAATATAACTAATTATTTGGAATTTTAAACTACATTTAAAACCTATCAATTTATCTTCTAATAACTTCAATGCTTAACTATGGGGTTTTGGGGTTTTGGGG